AGAGCACAGAACAAAGTTACAGATATGATCAGACTTTTTTATATGGCTATACCATGGGTACCATTCTGCAGAATCCAATGCTAGCAGTTTTCAAGAAATGTGGCAACAATATAATTGTATAATTTTTAAAACACAGCAAGACAGAATCAGAAATTTGAATTAGTTTATTCTGGAAGATATGGGAAAAGGGATTCTCACTAGAATCCCTAGCAAAAGAGTATCCATAATAAAATGGCAGTATATACTCTTTCATTTTTTTCTGCCTTAGTTTCTAGCTTTACACCTGTAAATCACAGTTTAGTTTTGGGGCTTTTTAAAAAATGTTTTAAACCCACTCTCTCTCTCTCTCTCCCTTCTTTATAGTAACCCCAATTACTATAAAGTGGGTATAAGCGCAATAACCCCAATTACCCCAATTATAATACCTGACTATCCAGATAGCATCAGCTTGCAAATAGCAGTCAGTAATCTCTCTATTCTGTTTCTTTTTATGTAATAATTAGGTCCATTGACAACTACGTTGTGTGAAGGTCTTTTTAATTTGCTAGAATAATAGAAAGTGGTAGGTCATTCTGCACAAAATCTTCTTGACCTGTGTGCTGCTCTTTGTTGACTTGTCTTTTGAAAAGAGCAGAGCAGAGCAGCTGTTGCTCGTGGAAGGAGCAGAGCTCACGGCGTCGTGGCCACGCACTGCTGGGAAACGCGAAGGCTCTTCGGCATCCTCCTGAGGTTTCTGTGCTGGGTGGCTCTGCTCTGCAGAGACACAGCCAAGCACGGAGTGTGATCGAGTGCCATCGCAGCTCGTGAGCAGAGTGGAGCCACAGAGAATGGGGAGCAAAGCTTATAATTGCTTCTAACATTTTGGCTCCAGTCAGAGGTCGTGAGATGATGACAGAAGGACAGATTTGTTCCTTACACTGTACAAGGCTAAGATGAGGAAAAGATGGCAAATGCAAACTTTCTTTTCTATTCCAGCCAGAAAATTGTTTAGTCTGGTTTGTGTGAAGCTTGTCCCCAAAATATCAGACTTGTGACTCTGATTCTATCAGTGTGGAGCAGCAGGGGACACAGAGTGATGGAGATAGGCAGGAAGAGATTTGCATTGCTGATATTTCCATCGACAGTAGATTGGTGGTTAGATGAAACTTAAGTTCCCAAAGGCAATTCTTCATGGGATGAAAATAAAGTAAGTGGAAAAGCAATAAAGGTTAGTTTGACCTGAAAAGTGAGCTTTATTTGTGTTTTCATGAGAAAAGTGTTTAACAAAGTAGTATAAGGCAAGATAATTTAACATTTCTGATGAAAGAACAGAAGGTGCTTGCAGTGATTTGGAGAATTAGTTTGTCAGAAGTAAAGTGACAGTGATGATGTTGTCTTTGAACAGCTGATTTTGATTTTGCAGAATTTTGAAAATAAGTGTAGACTTGGCAAATTTTGCATGAATACTGTAATGCTGTTAAGTTAGCTAATAACTGAACTGATTATTTCACAGCATCTTCAAACCTGTTATCATTTTTCAATTTTTTTTTCACTATAAGGTGCCTAAAATTCCACTGGTTCCTTGGTATTTTGTATCTGTGTTCAAGTTCTTACACTTTTTCTTATGCTTTTTCTTCAGGGTTCCCTTTGGCTAGCATAGCAATTTATGCCTGTTAAATCAATGTATAGATCATACAAAATTAGAAGAGGTAATTTTTATGAGACTGTAGAAGCTGGAGCTGCTGGCAATATGTGTTCTTCCTTATATCAAAGAACCAGCTGCCAAAATCCAGTTGCATGCCAATAGCAGTACACTGGAAATGTAAATTGTTGTCATATGGATTGACATCCCATTGAAAGCTGCATACGAAATCAAGGAACTTGTTACTTTTACTGACAAAAGGAATACTGAGAGGTGCTTGCATCACTTGTGACAGATGTTGTCACAACGGTTTTTCTAAGGCAAGTATGTGACAGAATGTGATTTTACAGCACCACAACTGCTGTAGTACAAAACATACATTTTCATGAAACCCTTTTGTAACACCTTCAACAACTGCTCACTGACAGACTCCTGTCCTTTGGAAAAAACAAATGCTTTCTGCAGTGGTACAAATAAAGTGGTACTGCATTTGAAAAACAAGTATAGGAGAAAAGGCTGTTTTCAAAAAATAATGCTTGACTCCTTGAACTCATCAAACAGCCAAAAAATTACTGTGTGTATTTCTAGATAACGGAAAACTGCATTAGAGATGTAGGAATCAGTTACTGAAAGTGATCAGGGGAGGAGAGAGAGAGAAAAGTGCAAACATTAAGTTTTATTTCATTATTAAAATATTAAAATAACAGCAGAAGTAGTGTTATAAGATCACTTAAAAAGATCTTAAAAACTTCTTATTGACTGTGCCTTAATATTACAAAAAACTCCCTCCTTGTTTTGATACCAATATATGCAGTGTGAGGGTCTCTATCCTGTCTGACCTGACATGTCAAGTCTTCCACATCTAATGAGAAACTAAAACAAGAAGAGGATTCAAGTTGCATTGATAAAAAAATAATAGCTTTTAGATATTATTTATTCATTTTAGTTGACCAAATCTGAATTCCCTACTTTGAGTAGTTTTTCTACTTGGCTTTTTAAAACAAGTGTCTCGAGAGCATCAGGGAAGACTCTAATCAGTAGTGGCAAAAGAATATAGAGGGCACAGTCAAGCCAGAAAGAGATTGTTTCTCTCAGCTGTGAGTTTCCTGGCACTTCACGTCACAATTAAGAAGTAAGAAAATATTGATTGGGGGAGAAAAAACAAGCACAAATATTTATTACTCTTTTTGCTTTTGTTGCAATAAGCAAGAGATACTAGCCTTTACATATGTTCACTTTGTATTATGCCAGTATCTCAGCAGTTGAATCAACTTCTAATTTTGTAAAAAAACCACTGGTGGTATTCAAAAATGGTTATTTTTGCAGTAGTAGAAATATTGGTGTCAGTATTGCAGACATTTGTTCAGCTAATCTTTAAACTACTGAACAGTGCAAAGTGGCAAACAAAATCATGTTTTATATATAGTTTTGTAAACAAAGAGAGGAGTTTTTTATAGAATAGGGAGATTTTAAAGTCTTAACCACTAGATTGAAAGGGTTTGGGTTTTGTTTAATTTGTGGTCTGGGTTTGGGGGTTTTTCATTTCTTCTGGATTATATTTAAAGCATTATCTCAATATTGTAGAGTGTACAGTGTTTATACCATATCATTTCAGAATATTTTCACCTAACTTTTTAACTATGTGTTGAGAGTTAAATTAGCCTTGGTAATTGTAAACAGTGATACCACTGTAAATTGAGTCTAGAACCAACTACCTTGTACCTAGTCTAGGAAAGGTTCTTGTGCTACCTTTTTTTTTAGTTTCTGTCTCCTTAATTCTCACACTCACTAAAAGTGATCCATTCATACTCTAGTGTTTTGCTTTCCAGTTTTAGCAGGCCCATCAATCAAGGTGAACTTTGCCTAAGGAAAGGCTCTTAGGGAGTACCATGACAATGCTATATTACTAAAAGGAGACTGAATTTAGAGCAGTTTATCTTTCAGAAAGGTTTAAATGGAACAGTAGGTCCAAGTGGATTAGTGCTGCCTCTGTTTGCAGATATATATTGCAATCTTCAGTTGGCTTTGTAGTGCCTGTCTCTGCTCGAGTTGCAGTCTGACGAGGGTAATAGAGCACTGCAGATTCAAAGCTTTCTCCACCACGTGTAGAGCAGTCAGTTGAGTGTTTGCATACACTGTGCCAGGATTATTTCCATGTATTGTCTTCAGTCTTAGCTGCTTCCTTTCCAAAGTATTCGCTGCCCTTACACTATTTCCAGTTTGGATTTTAGAGAGTCTTGGAAACTGAGAACGTGTTGCTTTACAGGAGCACAGAGTGACTGAGGTTACAAGGGACCTCTGGAGCTCATCTGGTCCAGCCTCCCTGCTCAGACAGGCTGACCTGGAGGAGGCTGCCCAGGATCATGTTCAGGTGGCTTTTGAGTATTTCCAAGGATGGAAATTCCACACCCTCCCTGGGGCAGCCCGTTCCAGGGCTCAGTCACCCTGTGTTCACAGCCACAGCAGCATTTCCTGATATTCACGGGAACCTCCTGTGTTTGAGTTTGTGCCCATTGCATCTTTTCTTGTCACTGGGCAGCACTGTAAAGAGCCTGGCTCTGTGATCTCTGCACCTTCCTTCAGATATTTATACACAGTGATGAGCCTTCCCTTTTCTAGGCTGCAGAGTTCCTGCAGACAGAACCTGTGCTTCAGGGTTGGGTACTTCCCCATTCCAAGCATTTAAAACCCAGCTAGTAGAGCAGGAAAAGACACGAAGAAGATGATGTGTCCATTGGATCCAAACAGGAGGGAAAAAAAAATCCACAAATATACAGGAAATAGCACATAATACTTTCAAGTTATGAGAAGGAAAATCAAGGAATTGGCCAAGACTGAATTTTTTTGTTGCGTAATCTTCCATATTGGTCACAGAGCCTATGGGCAATATTTGGTGGTTTCAGTAAGTGAGATTATTGGAGAAACAAATTCACAGCTACAGAGTGACTTGGAGACAGTGGAGGAAACCTGTTTCTGGATACATGGTCATGCTATGATATAATGGATCATCCAACCAACTTTTTTCAATCTGTCTCTAGCTGTGAGGGATCTGGCCACACTACTAGATTTTTGGAAGATGGCTCATGTATACCAATACTTTGGTGACCTTGAGGGAGGGGTTCTTATTACATTTTAAATATGAAATTTGAATATACAGAGAATGATGGATGTTAAGAAGATATTATACTAGAAATACTGTGGAAAAAATTAATTAATATATACTTTTAGTTTTTATTTTCATATTTCCAGTAGAGATAACATCAAGAAATGAGCTTATTTCTGTGCTATCCTTCTTACTGCATAAATTCTGTTACTGAAATAAGCATTTATCATAGCTCATTTATTCAGTAATTTCAGCTTCTTTTTTTTTTTTTTCCAGTAACTCCTGGTGAAACTGTTGCTGTGGATACACAAACCAGGGTAACCAAGGAAACCACCACCTTCAAACCAGAAATGCCATCTTCTGTGCTTTTGGAGGTTCCAGCCTTGGCTGACTTCAACAAGGCATGGGCAGAGCTCACTGACTGGCTGTCTCGACTGGATCGAGAGATAAAATCTCAGAGAGTCAGAGTAGGTGATCTTGATGACATCAACGACATGATCATCAAACAAAAGGTATGACAAACACTGATTTTTCAAGTTCAAAGCCTCATGATCTGTATTGTGTATTAAATCATTTCAACAAAGAACACAGGAGAGATGACAGCTTGCAATACATGTAGTTGTTACTGCAGCTACTAAACTTACTCCAGTAAGCACTATTATTGGGTGAAATATTTAAATAATTCATTGAGGGGAAAAAGAAGGAGCATTTAATATATTATCTGGTATTTGAAGCAGATGTCTTTATCCTTCTATTGCTTGTGCTGTAAGACTGTGCAAGCCAATGGTTGAAATATAAGCCTCATGCAAAGGAAGGAATTGCATAGTAAGCTGCAGGCTGACAGGAGGAAGAAGACCATGTTTCATACCTTTTCTTACCTTACTTCTGTAATAACTTTCTGAGAGGCTTATATATTGCTGCTGTTGGTTTATCAAAAGCTCCTCAGTTGTCTTAAAGAAAGAACAGCTCATTAATGCATCTGTTTTGTCAGCAAAACTGCATCAGTGTTACTTATCACTGAAAACACAGGAAAATATGGAAATACATGTATAAGGAAACAAGAAGGATAAACTTTAGCTGCTCAGTAGCAATAAAAGCTTGAAAGTAATTACCTGCCTTCTAGATTTAGCATTGCTCAATATAAAAGATTGGCTTGCCTGTGCAAAACTTTTCAGTGCTAAATTTCCATTCAGTTTAGTTCTAAACTGAGTTTAGGACTCTGTATGATAAGATTCTCTTCTTCTTCTCCTCTTCCTCCTCATAAAATCCCCTGATTTATTGTAAGGAAGATATTGACAATCTTTCTCTTTGCTTAAACTAGAAGGAGAAGGAGACAGAAGGGATGTGTTTTGTGTAGTATCTGTACTAAAATGTTTCATCATAAAATGTGCAGATGTCTCATGGGATTAATTCTGCTTCTTTTCTTGCATTTTGCTCTTTTTCCCCTGTGCTTTAAACTGTGTATTTTTGAGACTTTTGGTTTGCTTTACTTTCTAAATGAATAAAGTATTTGTTTCGTCGTGATTAATGATCATAACACATATGAAGTAGTATTATGTACTGCTTCATTAAATGAAATATCTTCAAAATGACATGGAGTTTAGTAAGTGATAATTGCAGTGTCACCTACAGAGGACATTGCTTTAAAATAGCTGCTATGTCATTTGAAGGTTGAGGGCCAAAGTAGACTTGGTTACATATTATCTTTTCATCTTTTTCAGAATAATTTTGATTTTGAAATTGTGTATTGTCAAATACTTGGTTCAGCATTATACAGTTTTCTTACTTATGCCTGAATTTAGCATATTATTCTGGCAGGCAAAATCCACAGCTTGCTTCCTTCTGCAGATGTCTTTTACTTAAACATGAGGTCAAATGATTAACTCTTGAGAATTTCAGTTAATGTTGTATGTGTTTTAAAATGAACTGGTTTATATTTGCATGCCATCTTAATTCAAAGCTGGAATATTTTTACACTGCTGCAGTCTTCCTCCTGTCTGTTCCTGGCTGGGTAACCCTGTCTCCTTTTTTGATACCATGCTGTGCTGGTAACAAAACCAGCAGGAAAACTCTTTTTTCTTGTGCTTACCTCTCTAATTGGCTGTGCAACAGAATGTGACATTTAATATATTCTCTGATGAAATGGAAGAATCGATGTCTAAATTTAGACTGCAGTTCTGTTCACTGTCTCCCTCTTCTCTAATGATCATCCTAATATTGCTTAATACATGGAAATGAGTCTCATGAAATATTTCCTCCTTCTTGTAAATCTATTGCTGCACTATTAGGTGAGATTAGCACAAAGAATTTTCAAGACTGACAAAGAATTTTAGATTTCTTAAAAAACCCTGTTTTCTAATGTGTTGAATGTCTGCAGCAGTGTGTGAGCTGATGAAACTGGACATGTGGGTATTTTGCTGTTCTGAAAAGTCAGGCCAGATACGATCTAAGTTGGAAATCCAGAAGTGCTGCTTACCCCCCTGGTCTGTGTGTTCTGTAGGGGGTTATAGTCACACTTCTCCTGTGGTTGTGATTTGAAAGTCACAGTGTTGCATTGTGGTTTATTTGGAGAGTTTATTGCACCTTTACAGAGACCTCAGTAAGATTCAATGAGTTCCATCTTAGTAGATTGACCTGGGTTGGCTTTTTGGTTGGCTTTTTTTTCAATCAGTTTTTCCACTTTAGGTGTAAAATACTATCTTAACACAGCCAGCTACTTCCCTTCTAGAAACCCAGCATTACAAAGATATGTGCTTCATGAAAGCTGTTTTATTTGAATACATCTCTAGCTGCTGCCCTGGAATTTGGAGCCCTGCAAGCAGCTAACCCTGTTGGTGTGCTACCAAACTCTTACTCTTCTGGGGATTTGTTTCCACTTCATATTTTATTCAGAACAGAGAACCACATTTCTAAGAGGAAATTGAAATATCAAAGCAAACGTTTTAAAAGCACAGAAATCCCATATCTAGCAATGTGTGTAACAGGATATTTTCCAAATCACTCCAGTAAAGCTAAGTGGCCTTAGGTTGTCCTTTTTTCACAGCAGCATGTAATGTTGTTGAAGCTACATCTCTGAGGGCATTTTGGTTAAGTTCCCTTCAATATGATTGTGTCACAAGATCACAGCCACTAACTCTGCCATATTTTGTGTCAATAAAACTTTAAGACATCGTTAGCCCTCCCTTGAACTTTGCTTGGAGCTGATTGCAGTGAGTTGGTCCTCGTGTGAATACCATGTTGTACACTGGTTAATTATGGAACAATAAAGCTCAAAAAAAGACAACTACTCTGAAAAAGTCTTGGTTTAGTGGCAGCTTCCTCTTAATGAAAGAAACAGTGCAAATTAAATTCTCCTAAGTGGTGTACATAATACGTAATAAAAGGAGTATACTAAAAGTCTAGGATAATGGCTAGTCGTTTGAAATATCCATAGTTAATCTTGCAGTCAAATGTGTGGTATAGGTTGAGTCTTCACTGTTGGGTGCAGTGGTGGGGATAAATCTGAAAAAAGTATTTATGTAAAATGAGACCAAGCTGGTTCCTGAGACTTTTAAGCAAAGAAAAGTAAAAGATACTTTTAGGTAGTGATTTGTATCACCCTAAAGTAGACATCCCAAAAGATTTAGAGAATTTATTTATGCTTCATTAATTTGTCACAATTGAAAAAAATTTTTAAAAAGTAAGTTTGATCTTCTGTCAGTTAGAGAAGTAAAGAAAACTGGAATGAGGTGTTTTCACTATTAATTCTGAATTGGTTTTTCAATAGCTGAGAATCTTGTGCAGCTGGTGGATAGTGAAATAACAGTTAAGGAAAAATATTTGTTTCTAAACTGTGCAATTAGCAGACTTCAGAAGAAAGAGTGGGCGTAACTGACATTCCTTCTGCTTGAGGATTTTTTACCTGTCCTTTCCCATGGTTACATACCATGTGTTTTAGTATACAACTTTATAATTATGTGTGCAATTTCATATGAAACCTTGTAATTGATATGTGGCAATAAAAATGTAGTTTTATAGATTTATATCCTGTTATTATGGAAGCAACAGTAAGGTTCAGATTGAATTTGGAATTCTGTATGTACCAAGTGTGAATCAGTGTGCTCTAAATATGCCCATGTTAAACTAAAACTTGTACTTACCACCAAAGACATTTACATCTGTCCATATAGTTTGTGTCAGAAGTGTAAGGGACAGACAAAGTGGAGTCCTCAGCCTTTGAATAGTGTACTCCAGGGTCTACAGAGTTGTGAGGACGTTTCGCATTAGCGACAGAGGCATGGAAAGACCCGTGCAGCACATCCTCAGATAATGCTGAAGAGCATCACAGAAGATTTACCAGTTTAGTATGCTGATGTGCTTAAAGGGAAGGGTTTGGTAGTCCAGAATCCAAGTGTGATGCCAGAACGTTGGGAGTTGACATTCACACTTTGAGAATCAAACTGCAGGAGCATATTTGCCCCATCCCTCACTCTGTGCTGTCAAGCTGCTGTGAGGGTTGTTTGCAAAGCTTCTAGGATCTTCTGTTTCCATATGAACACACAACTGCAGACATTCCCTGGATTGCTGTTGGACCAAGATAAACTGTCTCCCCAAACAGGGCTGGAGCTGAAAATGATTCTGCAGCTTGTTGGATGGTTCATTGGCATTTTTGTGCATCCTCTCTGGTAGCATAACCCTCCATGTGACTGCATGGCTTAAAGGGTGTGCAAAACCTCCTCTGTCTCTAGGAATTTCACCATGGGATATATTCACTCAGGAGATACTGTCATTATTTTATCAGTGTTACTGTTGTGGTATTTAACATGGGATATCTGGCAGAATTCTGATTTTATACTGTCATGCTGTTAGACTTCTAAAATTAATTCCAACTTAGGAGAAGTATTGGAAGGCTGGTTTCAGTTTTTGGAATGAATTAAAAAAACCCAACCAAACAAACAGCAGCAAACTAATAAATGAACAGATTTCTAAATATATTAGAAAAATTTAAAGCTACAAGGTTTGCACGCTGAAAGGTTGGTTTTGTTTTTCTTTTATGGCATAGAGGAAAATGAAAAAATGTCTGTCAGCCTTCAAGCTTGTTTCTAAAGGTTAGAAAATGCAGCAGGATGCTCTAGAGGGCCTGGAGCTCTGAGTCTTTAAAGGGAAAGGGAAGGAAAAAAGGGGAAAAAATGTCTATTAGTCTGAAAATTGGACCTCAAGGGATATAGAATGTGTGTCAGGAGACTCTTTTTTTAATACTTCGTTGCACATAAAGACAGCTGATATTTTCTTGGCCAGCTCATTACAGTGTGTTAGAGAGTATATTTGTTTTCTGCAGCAGTAAAACAGCTGTCTAAACACTGTCTTTTGGAGTGATTAACAGCTATTTCTTTATTTCTCTATAATGTTAATCACTAGGATGTGTATAAAAATTGTACCTCTAAGGATCTGATACTAAACTCATTGAAGTAAAAGAGATACTTTCATCATTTTTCAATTAATTTTCAGTCAGGCTGTAGATCACCATCCAAAC